TGAGTAGGCGGCTGACCACTTCCGATACATTCTTCACCTACGGAAGAGCTCGTCAAACGTTTGGACCAGTTGCATGTGTCTTCTTCTCTCGTTTGCGTATGCACTTTTTGACAAAATTGCGCGGGTAACCATTCGCTCCCAGAACCCGTCGAAGATGTTTTAATTCAGAAACTGTGTCTTCCACTTCGCTGCAATGCATCTCAACGCGCCAGCAAAGCGCTCTCACGCGCTCTTATGTTTGTATTGGCTGACTGGTTGGCTGAGAGATAGGCTGCAATGGCTTCACATAACGGTTGCCTCTATGACCTGTTCAATCCGTGGAATCCGAGCCAAGTGTGGCGGCATACCTGAGAGAGACTCCGGCCACGGCAGCCACATGCGCTCTCTCCCGCATCCGGTCATTTTTAAATGCTTATGAAATGGGGTCAAGGTGGGAGCGCAAGAGTGTGCGTTAGATGAAGTACAAGTCTACAGTCACCGTAATCTATTTCCAGCACAAGAGCGCAACCAATTGCCACGGTAATTTGCGGCATGTTGTGTACCTTGTCGAAACGAATTTTCAGACTGTCGATGCAAACTACAGGACACGAAACATCTGATGGCAGCCCAATTTAAGTCTACGTACTAAGTATTAATGGACAATATGTTGGTTTGAACATGTTGCCCGTCATTCATATTGACTGTACATACAAGCTTGATAGACGGGACCGCATAATTTGAAGTAAAATTTCTGAAAAAAAGAAAATAAATAATAAGCATGATGGTTAGATTTGTTCTCCAAATACTCCATACCACACCAGCATGTCGAGGCCTAATTTGTAAACTGCGGAACTGGTTATGAGGTAGTTAAACACATCAGCAATGCATCAAAGACCTTAGCTTTTTAGCAGCACCACTACTGCAGCACTTACTGCTCATTATGTTCCGGTGTGATATATATATATATATATTTTCCTATGAATTGAATTTTATTTTTCCAGGGATGTTAATATTGTCGACCACATGCTAGCAATAATGCAGAAATATTCTGATCAATTGGAGGCTGAAGTACAAGAACGAACATTGGAGCTGCAGGAAGAAAAGCAGAAAACGGAGGATCTCATATCTAAGATGCTGCCACTGTAAGTAGTTCACTAGGCAGTGCTCCCCTTTACACGCTTACAAATAATTTTTCACAGCGACACTCGTGATAATGCAACTTTTGGCGATTTCGGGAAAAGTTCTGCCAAATTTCATTTTTGGGCATTTTTCAGGCCGGTTGCTCAAACGCTGGTAGCTGGAAACTCAGTGGATCCGGAAGCATTCGACAACGTCACTATTTACTTCAGTGATATTGTTGGATTTTCCTTGATCTCCGCCAAATCTACGCCACTGCAAATTGTTGACCTGCTCAATGACATCTACACCACATTTGATGCAAAGATTGAGAAGTTTGACGTTTATAAGGTCGTTCTAGAGTTGTTTTATTTGAAGCACATATACATCGACCGATTATTAGTTTAAGGAAAACTTTCGGGTGGAGATGCGCTTGCATACATGATTGGTTCATCCGGTGAAGATGGAACCTAGCGGATTGCCTCTCTTGGAGTCGGCCCATTGAAGGCCGCGCGTAACCTGGAAGCACTTGCGTGTGCGTGTGGCTCTTTGGCTGTATGCCTAGCCCTTTTGCGATGGCGCTTTCGCGTGCTATGGTCTCTTTGTCAGGTTGACCCCAGGACGGCTAAATTGTTGACTCGTGTTCTGTGCCGTACTAAAATGCGTGCACTCTGCATTAGGACATTTATTTTAGATATCAAATAATCAAACTAAATCTTATTTTATGGTAAGCTGCAGCTTCAGTCAAGTGGGCAGGTCGCACAGCGGAAACGAACAGCTGTTAAAATCTAATTTATGTCCCATTTGGTTACAAAACCATTTAATGTGGGCTTGCGCCTGTTTGCCCATCTTTAAAGGGTATTCGTTTCTGCGTCAAACTGACAATCCCGGAATAAAGCTCTTTGTATATTGCCAATAGTAGAGAATATTCGAGTCCCAGGAAGCAGTTCAAAGGATGAAGATGCGATCACTGGAACAAGAATTTTATTTGCCTGAGGTTTCGGATTCTTTGAAGCAAGACAGAATAGCAGAATTTATTCGCGCGAATAAATTTCGAGA